CGGGTTGCCAGCTTTCCTCCTCCACTCTCTGTCTCTCTCGCCTCCGCGTCGTTACTTCGTAAAATTCCAAACATGATTTTTTCAACTTTCCCTGCCGATAAAAAAAGTGGAATTTGGTATTGAGCGATAGATTTCATCATATTCTTAAATAAATTTATAGGTTTCAAAGATTTTATCTCTAAAGGCTGGTTGTTTCATCTTTTGATAAATTTTATCTGTTAAGTAAATCTGGCAATCCACGCATGTGATTGAGTAATCTTATTACTTACCCAACAGATAAAATTTATCAAAAGGTAGAACAACTGGCCCTAAGGCAGAAACCTCCCTATATAATAAGTGGGTATTCTATTTTGCACCGACTGACAAAATATATCCGTGCAGTATTCATAGTGTTATTACTGTTAATTCGTAATTAATAGATTTACATTTACATTTAAATATCCTTACTTAGATATTTCTACGAGCTACTGCTAATTTTATTTTTATACTCATATACATTTTCTTTTTCTTTTCTTTATAAAAATACATAAAAGTAAGAGACATACTTGGTATGGATCCAGTTGTTTTGTATTCCTCAAGATCCTCTTTAAAAGCTTCCTCAAAAGTCTCTCGTCGTTCCTTCAATTTTTTTTGCTGATTTAATTCATGCTGTGAAAGTCTCTCTGTGTGCTCGTTAGCTAGTTTTGCTAAAAAAATTAATTTGAAATAAATCAATGAAAAAATATTGATTGAACAACATGCACTTTTTCATCGCACGTACTTACTTTTGAAATTATTTAATTCCATCAATTTCTTCTCTTTGTACAAAGCCAATTGGAACCTATGATCCAACTGTCTACTTTGTAAATCTAACATTTCATTTAAGTCTTCCAATCGATACAAAGCTCCTTCAACTTCTTCGAACATTTCTTGTAAGTTTCCTTAGAGATATAATAAATAATAATTTTAGAAAGATTAGGTTTCCATTCGAGTTTTAATTTATCATGTTTTGTCTCTGAAGAGAAAAACTACCTATTTGGTCCATCAGATCTTGAATCGCATTATTAATCTTTGGAATGTAAGCTAAGGTATTGTTTAAGCATGTAACATTGTTCCACTCGTGTTGAAGTTTTTCATAAATAGAGGATATCAGCGCATCTGCTTCTTGAGCCTTTCCCGCGTTTTCCTCAGCGAGCTCATGAAGCTCGTTCCATTGCAGTTGAAAATGATGCAAAACATCTGCCCCAGCATCATAATTTACATTTCTTACATTGGCTGACTTTTTGCTCTTTGGATGCTCGGGAGTCGACAATCCACGTATACTAAAATCACAATCATGATATTCTAATGCTGTAAAAGTTCTAGTGCTACTCTCTATGTTGCTACATTATCTTTTGTAGTTTATTTTTATCACAAGTACATGATTTTTATGAAGTAAAATACATGATTTATGAATGGTTATCATCAATTTTATAATTATACGTTAGCGTTATCCATAGCATCTGTACACAATAAGATAAGAGACAGTGAATATAGAAAATATTTTACCTAGCAGATATACCTTCTTGCACTGTTTGAAACTTGCTACGTAGTGACCCAAACATATTTTACTGACTTTGCTAGTAAACATTCGCTGTCGATGAATCTCCGACTTTTTTAGATCCGGCTATCTATATAATAGATAACAAAACACTTTTGATTTTCTTACATAGACATTGTATTGGATGAATTTTTTTATATCAAATTCAAGAAATTTATATTTCTATGCAAAGGCTGTCTTTTTATGCGACAAGCTTGTAATTTTATAAAAATTATAATTTTCTATATACTGTATATGATTATTTATCTACAAATCACATACGCATTCAACAAATCATAGTGATTAATTATATTACAATCAAATAGATAAACTAAACTCGTTTGGCAACATAAATACGCCATTATCGTATAATAAAGAAATCTAATTATTTTATACACATATATTATTACACGTTTTGTAATTACAATATCACAATTGTTAGCTAAAAATAAAAGACAACAGGAAAGTTTTGTTTACACGTGCTTAAAACTTTGGCTTGTCGATCGTTATTAATTGACAATCGACGTATGTTGGCCGAACTCTGTCATTGTTTACAAAACAATGCATTCCGCATTAAATTCAGTGCAAGCGTAACCAACAAGCATTGAGTATCTTCTACGTATCGAACGGTGGAATAGAAAAACGACACGTTTGAAATTTAATTAACGGAAAAAAAGTGTCTCTCTTACTCTCTTTGATGGAGTAAAATTAGATCGAAATCCGAAAACGACGTACGAGAACTTTGTTGATAATTTGACTCATCAGATTGTCGCGGACATGATGATACGTTTGTTCCTCTCATCTGCACTCCCAGATACTTTACACGTTCGGAAACGAGATCTAAACATATATCTAGGCGTTGGAAAGAGGAGGAGCGAATAATTCGAGTGCAGTAAGCACAAAGCGAACAGATTGTTGTCGAATGGATATGTCGGATTGAGTAGCACGGACAGTTGATCATGAAGCATGCTCCGAAAGGAAACAGCTGGATTCAACTTTTTTCGATACCTATAAGCTCCGACATATCCGCAATTGTTGGAAATCTTTGAAAATTTGCGATCCAGAATGTTAGCCCGATATTAATTTTTCATTAGGCAAATCCTGACTCAATAAGCAATCTGACCACAGTCATGTATATGGATAGCAATTTTGACCAGAAATTGCTAGCGGAACAGAAACTAACAGTAATATTAATATTATAATCATCCACTCAATATAATAATGTGATACGATATGTTGTAATGGTTGCATTGCTGAATAAGAAATTGTAACATTAATGTGATGTTATTAGTGTATATTCTGTGAAATTGGTTCAATCAACTACTCTTTAAGCTTGTGTTTTGCAAAATGGTAATATATAACTTGATATCAGATTGGCAGCAGAAATCAAATAGTATCTGTCAAACGCGATTCTGCTCTATTTGTGTCAAATTGTATGATAAATATATCATAATTTGCTAAATATATCATAATTTTTGCCATCAATCTATCATCATATTTTGTTAGTAAAACAAACTTCTACATTCCTGCCAGTGTTTTACCATTGTATATGCTAGATGTCGTATATCAATCAATAGTTTGTTATCGACAAAATTTATAGCAGGCACTTTATGAAATCTAGCTTGACAGATTTAAAGCTGAAGAATTTATCATGTGTATCTTCTCGTGTAATGAGAGATTGTTAGGTGTAGAACTACTAGGTTTACCTTCTGCATCTTCCTAATTTTCATTCCAAATTTCTATGATTTGATGAGATTATCAAAGATAAAAATGTTACAAGTCTGGAAGATATATTAATAACATCACAATACTATGTTTGTGTTGCATGTTAAACGTGATACAATAGCATAGCAAAATAGCGTCAGAAGATATCTCAAAATCAACTTTAAAGATGACTGCTTATTTTAAATTAAAAATTCTAATGGATATCTTCTTCTAACTTTGAGATTATTTCATATTCGATTGAGCAGAACGAATGAACAAATTTCAAATATTACAGCAACGATGAAACATAAGGATATAACAGTTAATGCAGTTCAGCACATAAGAAACAGAACTATTCAAATCTGTTCTAGCATATTATTTTCATAAACTCTTGGAGAATATTCATAAAACAAATAAAAATATAAATAATTATTTCTCATCCATACTGTGTCTGAATTAAATAGGATTTTCAATTCATTATTGGTAAAAGATGTAAAAAAAGGAGATAAATTTTTATCTTGTTTTATGTAATCCTTTTTTTTTTTAGCAAAACTTTTGAAAAATGTTTTCGAAAAAACGTGTTTAAAGTCCAAACGTATGTTTTTTTTAAATTAAAGTATATATCTCTCTTTTAAAAACTGCCAGCACTGTAGTATGATGTCTGTTCATAGTCCAATTTAACATTCAAGATCGTATAATCTCAAGTCATTTTATTAATTGGATAGAATTTTTATGACTGCTTGTGATCACATTTAAAATGGTCTTAAATTATGTATAAAAAATCGGACTATGAATACCAGCCTAAATCTATCTCAGTCTGTGTTTCTTCCAACAATTATTTTTAGTCTATTCCTTGTCACTAAAATTTTCTTTCTCGCTTTCACCAAACTCAACTTCAAATATATAGCTACTTTATTTTAAGTATAGGAAATGTATACTAGTTTAGATAAAAAACTAATGAGCTTTATAACATATTGGAGCGCACCATCGAGGAATAGGAATGTACTAGATTGTACTAATTTCTAGACATTCTGATTCAATGATTAAACTTTTTCTTTGTACGTTTTTTGTCAGGAACTCACTGATTGGCTAACCCTGTTTGCAAGAGAGAGTCAGAAAGATACGTATTCGTTTTTGTTTTCTCTGTTGCGCGTAGGACCGTAGTTTCTATAGTATAAAGAAGACGCTATGCTACAGGTCTATAATAATAGAGCGTTAAGGACGGATGTCTTATTTCGATACAAGTATTTCTAAAGAAAGATTTCCCACTGTAACAATAGCTGTCCCCAATCTATCCGAAGCCTACCGCTCCCTGTCGGTTTTTTGCGTTACTTCAGATTTTCAGTTCTAATTTCGTTCAAGTTGTGAATTTCGTAATAAAATCAATAGCATTCTATTCTTAGACAATCATACCTACTACAATAATCAGCAAAAATTAAAAAATCGATTTTTTTATCCCTATAAACCCTTTGTCTTCTCTTAACAACATATGTTGTAGTTTCTATTTTGTTAAAAAAAAAACAGCAAAATACAATTTTTGTATGTCTTGGATATAAAAATTTAAGACATAAATTGGTGAGTAATAAATTATATATTTTGTCCTTATTTTTATACCATCATAAAATTTTAGTATCTATTTCTTTTTTGTTTAAAAATCAATAAAAAATTATTGACGTTATGAAGTTGATGTACAATTTATATTACTAACGAACATCTTAAATCACGTATAAATGTGAAATTTATTGTGAGAAATATCTCAGTTGAATATCAATAGTAGGATGAATGGGCTAGAGAAGTTTTATACATGAAGTTTTATATTAGAAATCTCGGCGATCAACTGACGCCCTTTCTGGAAAATAGGGAGAAAATAGAAGAAAATAGAGAGAATATTCGACTCCTGAGGTAATAATTTTCGTAATAAATATCTCGTGTAGCAAACTAAGATTAATAAGATGCTCATTAGTGATATATTATTAATAGTATAGTGTACATTAATTTAATAACGAGATAAAATTTCTACCTTTGATATAAGGCTATTTTTAAGACCAAATAGTAATCAGCGTAGTTCGAAATATAAGGGTACGGTCGAATTGCCGCTACAAATGCTTCGAATCGTTTTTTTATTGGTCAATTAATAAAATTCTTTTTTCTGATTGATCAATCAAATGCTCCGAAACATTCGTAGCGGCAACTCGACCGCACTCTTAAACAAATAAATAACTTACTAAATAACTTATTAATTAATATTAGACATAAGAAGTCATTCATTGAAAATGCCAAATTGGTTTATTCTTACACGTACCATATGTTGTATGTATATAATGATCTACATATTTTCTCATCTTATTCTATTTATTTCACAAAAAATGTTTAAAAAAATCTAAAAAAAAAAAGAATGTTATAAACATGCAATTGCAAAAACTCTTGATGTTGGAAAATTAAGTAAATATGTAGATTCACGAATGACGTTGAATTTAATACAGACAAAACTTTCTCTCATCCTTATTTTTCGCATCATCAAAAGAGATTATACCTAATTACGAAATGCTAGGAGGGTAATCTTCCTACGGAATTCCCAGTACACGGATCCTCAACAATTTTTTGATTCTTTAGATATACTATTGATCGATGTGATGTATATGTATAAAAAGATATAAAATAGATAAGGGACACATTTTTCAATTTAATATCCCCTTTAAATACTTCAAATACTTTAAATAAGTTATTATTCTTTTTAAACTTTTAATTGGCTAATTCTTACGGTACATCTTATGGCTACGGAAATTATATACAGCAACCCAAAAACTATATACCATTTTAAAGTAGTATTTTAAATAAATTATTTTGAATTGGAATATTATCAGAATGAAGTAGTATCGCGACATCAAGTATACGTAATTAAAAAAACGAAACGCTATCAAGTAATTTATTCAAATCTTTTGTTTTTCGAGCGTTTTCGTTTGAATTAAAGCATATAGTATCTTTCAATCTGTACATGAATTACGCACATAAATTAATTGGAAGATTATTTAATCAAGAATAAAAAAAATTATTATATATAACATTTATATATATAGGTAAATGTACATAAATGTTATAAATAGGAAAGAATATTAATAGCTTCTTATTAATAATATGTTTAATAATATCTAAAAATTTACGAATTATTATTAGAATAAGAAAATAATAAATTATATTTAGTGATGCTAAAATGATGCAATGTTATAAGAAGTATCAAATTTCACAAAATGCAATATTATAAGTAATATCAAATTTCACAGAATGGTTCGCGGCTTTCGCTTTAAAAATATGCTCTCTTACGATCTATGGAATATTAAATTAAAAAGATGTTTGTAGAAATATGATTGGACATGACATGTTTTTATGCCTTACTTTTATTTTAAATTCATTTTATATGATTTTTAATTAAATAACAATAACAATAGAATATTATAGAAAAATAAAATAAAATTCTATCAGTACTTAAAAATATTATGTATTATTTTCAAAAATATATGTTTGTAATTATAGATTTGTCAGTAGTATTTGGCTAATTGGATTGATTTATATCTTTTTGATTAGTTAATTTTTTATTTACATTAAAAAATTTTGTTTAATAATGAGGCACTATTATTTTTATGTACTGATGTATACCTTTTTTTAAAAGATTTTTTTAAGGTTTCTAATGTATTGAATCTAAAAAGAATATCTTAAATATTTCAACAAAGAATATACATATATATCGTATATCGTATTATTTGAAACATCTAAAATCTTTGACCATTCATTGGCTTTCTCTATCATATTTATGTTCTCATTTACACGGTCGTTTCATAATTTTAAAAAGAATATATAAATGATAATATTTTTAAGGTTTCCACGGGTATTCAGAAATGCCAAAAGGTTTGCGGGTTATCGCCATATTGTGATCGCTAATACCAACGTTTCGTAAACCTTATCGTTCACTTCATCAGAGCGAGGAGCGCACTGATAATATATAAATAACTTTCTTTAACTTGAATTTGAATAAGTTATAAAATAATTCAAAAAACAAAATGATACATATTTTTTATAATCTTAAAAAGTGCAAAAACTTTCAAAGTTAGTTTTTTAATCTAAAGTAACCAGACCCTATCTAGCGTACCTAAGCTTTATTTTTCCAAAATTAAAAACTGATTGATAAATGTTTAGTAGTGAATTAAAATTTATTATGAATAACAAAACTACTAAAAAAAAAACAATCGATATG